AGCACCTCTAGTAATATATTTACTGAGAAAAATGGTGACGTGTTCAATACTTATTTTACCCGCTGTAACTTTTATTAGTAATTTAGACTAAAAGCAATAAAAGAAAAACGGAAATAATAAACTAATTAAAATACTTACTGGTGACAGACTTTGTTGACTTGTGACTTCGATGTTGACATGAGGGTTGGGAGGGTCATGAGTCTGTTTGATCAATGTTTGAGTGGACAGAAATCTAATTTATGTGTTCATAATACTTGTATGTTTAAATATGAGAACCATTTAGTAAAATGCATGAATATGGGTGATATAAAATGAATATGAAAACCTTTTATTGAGGTCCAAGTTTTAATAAAAGGGTTTCTATTAGAGTGAGAGCATTAGATTAGAGTGTTTTCCAGGTCTGGATTAGTATGAAAAATACATCAGATAAACACTCCAGACTCTTATAATTCTAATCTGTAGATGTGTTATTAAGAAGATCAGAGCTCCGTGTCATTCAGACCATGACTCTGACCTGGTCTTTTATCTCTACAGGAGAACTGCCGCTCCCCGGCTCAGAACCACAAAGCAAAAGATGCCAGCTCAGATTCAAGCAAAGGTCAGAGGTCGCTTCATCTGATTCCAGTTAGTTAGTTGTTCCAGCTCTAATGCCGGATCTCTGTCTCCAGACGCCGTGGCGTACGCTGCCCTGCTGAGGAACGAGCTGCTGGGAGCGGGGATGGAGATGGGGGCGGAGCCTCACTCCGACGACCGGCGGCACGCGGCCCTCGCTCAAGACTCCCGTGGCCTTTTCAGGGTACAAATCTGACGAAACCTAACCGCTCTCAAAGTCTACTCAAGAAAAATAATCCCAGCTGTGATTCTTTTCATGTTTTATTCAGTTCAGATAACCAAGAACATATTTACTGTTGAGTTTAAAGAGTTTGTTTGTTCTCTGTGTTGGTTCCCTGCAGTACACTGTCCACACTAAGAGCGTGCCTTTTGATAGTGATAATGAAGTTTCTCCGTACTCTCTCTCTCCACTCAGCAACAAGAGGTATGAGATGAGCAGAACTCCCCAGCTTTTATGCCGTGTATATATATTATTTTCTTTAATTTGCTCTTTTGATTGTTTTGTAGTCACAAGCTGCTCCGCTCACCCCGCAAACCAGCACGGAAGATCTCCAAGATCCCCTTCAAAGTGCTGGATGCTCCGGAGCTGCAGGATGATTTCTACCTCAACCTGGTGGACTGGTCTGCGGGGAACCTGCTCAGTGTCGGCCTGGGAGCCTGCGTGTACCTGTGGAGTGCCTGTACCAGCCAGGTGAGACAAGGACAGGTGTCTGTGTGGGATGGAATGTTTATTTCCTGACATAAAGTGACGGATGTGTTTATGCTACCAGGTGACGAGGTTATGTGATCTGTCAGTGGATGGAGACTCTGTTACGTCTGTCTGTTGGAACGAGAGGGTAATGTTGCCAACTTCCTTATTAATTCAAATAATTCAAAACTAAACGAGCTGCGGAAAGAATAATCATTACGTTGTTCTGGATTAAACAGGGAAGTCTGGTCGCCGTTGGAACCCACAAAGGCTACGTTCAGATCTGGGACGCAGCAGGAGGGAGGAAGCTGACCTGTCTGGAAGGACACTCAGCCCGAGTAGGTCAGTATATATTCCAGCTACTCTTCTGTACAGAACTGACACTTTTTATTTGCTGTAATTCCAAGCAGAAAACTAAAAAGCCGAACTCTTAAAGTGAGCAAAGTTTTCTTTGTTACTGTCTGCTATAAACTAAAGAACTAGAGCCGGAGCTGTTTTGGTCAAACATTGAAAATAAGAATCTCACAGACGCCTCTCTGAACGTGACTCTCAGCTTCTACCACACCTAGTTTAAGTTCAGGATTTGTAAAACTCACTCAATTGCAGTCATTTTTTTTGTTTTTTAAAGCCGGTTAGTTGTTATTTATTACCTTCTATATGTTTTATTGAAATATATTTCCTTATTTATAAGACTGAACTGGTTTAAATCCTATTTAAGTGATAGGTTCTTCTAGGTATCAATTGGTAACAATTCCTCTAATTTTGTAAAACTCACTTGTGGCGTTCCTCAAGGCTCGATTCTTGGCCCACTACTATTTTCTATTTTTCAAGTTACTTCTTGTCAAATTATTTGCAAATATAATATATCTTGTCACTTTTATGCAGATGATACTCAAATTTATTTATCCACTGATCCATCTGATCTGTCTGCTGTAAACGTTCTAGCTTCATGTCTTGCTGATATTAAGGTCTGGATGTCCAATAATATTTTATTGTTGATAACAAAACTGAGTTGTTAGTTTTTGGACCCAAGTCTCATAGAGACTCTATAATTCAAAATCCTAACTCATTGTGGCCATGAGGCTAGGAACCTTGGCGTGGTTCTAGATTTGGATCTGAGCTTCACAAAACATTTTAATAACATCATAAAAACTGGCTTTTATCAAATTAGAAATATTGCCAAAATAAGATCAATGAGCCTCATGCAAGAACATTCTCGTGTTTTTATATAATTTTTTTTTACTTTTGTTCGTATGAAGGGTTCGTACGAACATGCCACGTCAGATTCAACAAACTCTTCTATCTTCAGGAAAAGTGTGTAAATGAGGAGCGCAAACATACAATTTATTAACAAAACACATTCTATGTTTGAATAAAGCTCATTATATACCAAGACAAATTAAACGTCGATACATATTTTAAGTTTGTTTATAGTTTGAGATCTTCATATCAATATTGCAGTGTTATACAACAGCATTAATAACCAATTCAATATAATATAATTTTAAAAAATTATATCGTTAATCTACATTATTACATTTAAAATTATAATTCCAATTCAAACAGAATAGCTACTGTCAACATAATTATGGAGTATAATTTATTTTCAACTCTAAATATCTTCAAACTAATGAAATATAAAGTTATTAGTGAAGAAAATCAATCATAACAGCAGATTGACTGCTCGTAAAATGTACCTCAGGTCTGGACTACATGTGAATTCTGTTCGTATTGGAAGAAAATCTCACAATAAGAGAAAATTTGAATTTCACAAATTCTCCTAAATCACTCGTACGCACAACTTAAGAACAAATCTGTTCGTACGAACAGTTTTTGCATGAGGGCCACTGATCTCTTTTGCGGATGCTAAAACCCTCGTCCATGCTTTTATCAGTTTTTAAATCATTGAATGGACTTGCACAATCATATTAGTGAGTTACTCCTTACACAGCCCTTGTGACCTCTGAGATCATTTAGTCGTTACTTTTGGTGCCCAGAGCAAGATTACAGACAGAGGGTTATCAGTCTCTTTTATGAAACACACTGCTACTTAACATCAGACAAGACTCGTCATTGTCCTCCTTTTAAAACTCTTTTAAAAATGTATTATCATTCAGTAAGTTGATTTTTGCATGTTATATTTTTTAATTGTCTTGTGTATTTTATGTTTTTGATTTATTATGTGATGTAAAGTACTTTGTAACTGTGTTTTGAAAGGTGCTATACAAATAAATATATTATTTTTTGGGAGGGTAAAGCACAGAAATCTGTTTAAAAAAACATTTTCCATCCTCAGCTGCTGTTGACAGGTAAAAGAACATGGTGGGTTATTTGTAAACAAAGTGTAAAACTCTCTGGTTGTATGCTGTGCGTCTCAGGCGCTCTGGCGTGGAACGGGGAGCAGCTGTCGTCTGGGAGCCGGGACAGAGTCATCCTGCAGCGAGACGTCAGAACGCCCCCCTGTGCTGAGAGGCGGCTCCAAGGTCACAGGCAGGAAGTGTGCGGTCTCAAATGGTCTCCGGACCACCAGCACCTCGCCTCTGGAGGCAACGACAACAAGGTGAGGCGACTCGGTCCTAAAATAGGTCAGGAGTGAAGAAGGACAGCTTGTTCATGTCTGCGTGCTCCTCTTCAGTTGTTGGTGTGGAACAGCTCCAGCCTGGTCCCCGTGCAGCAGTACAGTGACCACCTGGCAGCGGTGAAGGCCATCGCCTGGTCCCCTCACCAGCACGGGCTGCTGGCTTCGGGCGGCGGCACCGCCGACCGCTGCCTGCGCTTCTGGAACACGCTGACGGGTCAGGCCCTGCAGAGCACCGACACCGGCTCTCAGGTCTGCAACCTGGCTTGGTCCAAACACGCCAACGAGCTGGTGAGTCACAAAACTCCTTTTCTGTGTTTGACCACAAACATCTTCAAACAAAATACAGGAAGCAGCAACAATGGATTTAACAAAATTTAAAGTCTTAAATATTTTTCATTAGTTCTCAAGAAATTGAGAAGAGTAATTTAGGATTTAGTTATCTGAGTCATTAGTTTTTAGTTAGAGTAACCCGTGGAAGATTTTTAAAGGGGCAATATTATGTGTTTCTCAGGCATACATTTAAATACTATACCATAATAAAGTAT